TTACATGTTCATACTTTACATGTTCATACTTTACATGTTCATACTTTACATGTTCATACTTTTCAGTTCATACTTTACATGTTCATACTTTACATGTTCATACTTTACATGTTCATACTTTACATGCTCATACTTTACATGTTCATACTTTACATGCTCATACTTTACATGTTCATACTTTACATGTTCATACTTTTCAGTTCATACTTTACATGTTCATACTTTACATGTTCATACTTTACATGTTCATACTTTACATGTTCATACTTTACATGTTCATACTTTACATGCTCATACTTTACATGTTCATACTTTACATGTTCATACTTTTCAGTTCATACTTTACATGCTCATACTTTACATGTTCATACTTTACATGTTCATACTTTACATGCTCATACTTTACATGCTCATACTTTACATGTTCATACTTTACATGCTCATACTTTACATGTTCATACTTTACATGTTCATACTTTTCAGTTCATACTTTACATGTTCATACTTTACATGTTCATACTTTACATGTTCATACTTTACATGTTCATACTTTACATGTTCATACTTTACATGCTCATACTTTACGTGCTCATACTTTACATGTTCATACTTTTCAGTTGGCCAACATTTCTAAAAAACAACAACTTTTATACTGAATTTGGGGTTTTCATTCGTTGTCAGTTATAATCATCAACATTAAAAGACAAACATTTTAAATATATCAGTTTGTGTGTAATGAATGAATATAATATATAAGTTTCACTTTTTGAATGGAATTACTGAAATAAATCAACTTTTTCATGATGTTCTAATTTTATGACCAGCACCTGTAATGTAATATTAGATGATTTTTTTTTCAATAAATAAATGACCAAGTAGAATATTTTTGTCTCATTTGTTTAACTGGGTTCTCTTTATCTACTTTTAGGACTTGTGTGAAAACCTGATGATGTTTTAGGTTATATTTATACAGAAATATAGAAAATTAAAAAGTCTTTACAAACTTTCAAGCACCACTGTATCCTGTGAACCACTGGGTAGATTTTTAGGAAACTTTCAAAAAGTCATCATTAGGTGCACGTTCAATTGCTGCTTAACAGTTGGGGTGAAATCCATTCAAGATGGCCACCAAAGCCAGCTGACATTGGTATCAACAAAAAATAAGTCTAACTCAAATTTACAAACATTGAACTACATTTGGAGTGGTAGTAGCTGAGAGTCATTCACCACACAGACATCTTTTCAACAACTTATAAAACTTTTAACTGTTGGAGCCGACCCTGTTCATCTGTTAGCAAAACATCTCATCAATCACCTGACACATTTGAATCAAACTCTCAAAGTAATCATTGGATGTACATCAGTCTAACATGGCCACCACAGCTAAGGAGCCTTTTGTTTGTAACTTTGTCAGTTTTACTGCTCCTGAGCTAAACTTTGATGTGGTAGTAGCTGAGCGTCATCCTCAACATACTGACAGTTTAAAACTTAACATGTTTCACCGGCTTTTCTTAGTTTCATTGAACAGTTATTACACTCGGATAAATAATCTTTTGAAGTTCATCGCCGCCTCCTCCCACAACACAAGAAGAAAATTCAATCAGTGATGTTTGTGTTGCAGCTGGCGTTTGAATCTCTGTCAGTGATCGTCAACGCTCTCACCCTGCTGGAGGTCGGACAGGTGTCTGTGTGCAGGTGAGAACAGGGCAAGTTTTGTGCGTTTGCTCCAAACATTGAGATGATCAGAGATGTGAAGGAGTCCAGAGTTCTGTACGTGGAAACAAGAAGCACCACAGTGAACAGAAAGCGAGGAACGCTGACTCGTGTTGTCAGGTAGATGTAACTGATGATGAACGTGCCGTTTGTGATGTGTTCAGCTTTGGTGAGCAGGTGCAGCTGCTGCATCCCTTCCAGCAGCAGTTCAACGATGCGTCGGGGGCTCGGATCCTCAGACTCTGTCAGTTCCAGCAGAAGAAGACCAGAATAGCTCAGGTGAGAACTGTTCATTCACCAAACACTCCTCAGACCTGGTGGGCACCTCCTGTAGCACCTGATGGCTTCAGTCAGGGGACATTCTCTTGTGGAAGCTGTGAATCTGGTTATTGATTGTAACTCAAGTGGATCAAAACTCTTTACCCCCCCTGGTAAAATTTCTGGTTTTTGTTATGCTGGTGTAGATTCTCACTCAGAATAAAAACAAATAAAAAACTAAACCGTGCCAAAAAAAACCTGAAGTGCGACTAATTCTACATTTCACTTCCCTACCTAATCTGCCTCTGGCCAGATGTTGTTTTAGATCTTTTTGGTTTTACTGGTGCTTCTGGCTCTCCTGACCTTCTATGTTTTAGGAGTGAGCTGAGTTATAATCTAAGAGACCCTAAGAACTAAACCCAATAAATCATTTCAGATCAGATCTTATTGAAAGTTACTAAAGACCCAAAGTCACAGCTGTGGGAGGGGTGGTCAGACAGTCCAGAAGGTATCATGTTTTATTTTCAAGTTAAGAAAGTAATGACTTTAAGCCATATAAACGGTCCAATAAGACCCAAAGCAGAAGTGGTCTAAGACTGGATTCCTGGGGGACACCTCTAGTGAGGGGAGCTGAAGAGCAATCCAGTATAAAGGTCTGGTCTTTTAAGAAAGACTGAAACCGTTTAAGGGCTTTTTCCTCATTTTTACTGCATTTGAAGACTTTAAGTGTTTAACGTTTAAAGCTGCAAATTAAATTAAAATATGATGAACAGTTTATAAATGACATCATCGTAGGACAGTTCTGACCAGACAGGAACGTTACAGTTGCTCTTGATTTTCTCTGCCTGTGAAAACATTCTTCATGTGCACGTGGTGAAACTTGTGCATCTTAAACATTGAGCCCAGCTCTGGATGAGGTGAAACTTCACTTAAAAGATTTCTGCAGACAAGCTGAACGTTTTCAAAACAGCTTCTGCGCCGAGCTAACTTTGTGATCATCTCAGCTTAGAACAGTTTGATGTTTAAACTGCAGAAGTGTAAAAGGACCAGGCTAAAAAGTAAAAAAAAAAACATGTTCAAGCTGACAAATGGCTGTCACTCCCTGACTGCCATGTTAATAAGGCTGGCAGAAGCGGACTGAAAAGTAAGGCTCAAATAACCAGTCGCTGAGTGAGAATTCGAGTCAGAGCTTAAAGGTTCTTGAACTTTCATGCATGTGTTTTTATGTTTCTGTCGTGGTTTATGTGACTCAGACATGACAAGTAAAAAAAACATTTTTTTGTTGTTTTGAATATCTGAATATTAGCAGCTAAAATAAAACTGAATCTGTGTTAATAAGACAGCACACTGTCTGAACACAGGGTGGGTGGAGAGAAATATGTAGGTCCTACAGCAGTGAGACACATTGGGTGAAAGGAGACACAAATAGTGTATTTTGACCCTGATGCATGCTCAATAATCCAGATAGAAAAATCCAAAAAGGTTCAATCTGGTCCTCTGGACATTCAAAAAACAAAAAACAAAACAAAGCAAAAAAATATAGAAACGTTTCGTCTCTCATCCAAGAGACTTCCTCAGTCTGAGGAGCTGTATTCAGCTCAGTCTCTTAAATAGCACCTTCTCAGAGTGGATCAACCAGTTTGCTGCTGACAACCAAAACCAGCTGCTCACATGATCAAGAAGGACCATCAGCCTAACAATGGATCATTAGCACACTGATGGCTGTTTACTGTTCACAGAGGGCTGAGTGATACTAGCAATCACAGCATTGTAAGAGGGGGACAGTTGAACCCGGAGGCCTCCACCCCGTTTAATGATGGACGATTTCTTTTCACAAAGATGGCCTCCTTTACTCCTCTCTCAAACCATTGTTCCTCTCTGTCCAGGATGTGAACATCTTCATCCCTGAAAGAGTGACCGCTGGCCTGGAGATGAGTGTAGACCGCAGAGTCCTGGCCTGATGATGTTGATCTTCTGTGCTGGTCCATCCTTTTGGCCAGTGGCTGTTTAGTTTCCCCGATGTAAGACTGATCACAGCCCTCCTGACACTGAACAGCATACACAATATTACTCTGTTTGTGCCGGGGGACTGGATCTTTGGGATGAACCAGTCTTTGCCGTAATGTATTTTGGGGTTTAAAAGCCACTGGGACGTTATGTTTAGAAAATAAACGTCTCAGTTTCTCTGATACTCCCTCAACATACGGAATGACCACTGGTCTGGGTCTGGGTTCCTCCTTTTCACCTGATGGCTGACTGGAGTCCTGTTTGGGTTTCTTCTCTGCTTTCAGTAAGGCCCAGTTAGGATATCCACATTGCTCTAGAGCCTGTCTTGTGTGGGATTTCTCCTTCTGCCTGGCTCCTGAGTTAGTGGGGACGCTGTCTGCTCTGTGATACAGAGTCCTGATGACTCCT